TAGTTATATATATATATTTAAAGACAGACTCACGTATGCAGGCAGCCCTAGAGCTGGGTCTTGCTGTCCTCTCTCTATGCCAAGTCCAGAACTTTGTGCCCAGGCACTCTATAAATATTTTATTTTGCATAGGCCATAAATCTTGAGACGTGTCTAAGAATTTAGATAATTTTTTGGTGGTTTGTGCTGTATTTCTTCCCCGGGGCTGTGGGGAAGGGGGTGCTCAGGGCCCCCCTCCCTTCTCGGTGTGTGAGTCCCATCCTGTGCCCGATGCCACCCCGGGGGTGCTGAACCCACCACGCTCTGGGCTCGTTCTGCTGAAACTTGGGCCCATTTTCCCCTGGTGTCTGTGCAGTTGGATGTGGCCGTGTCTCTCCATCCCTTAGGGACGGGATGCAACCCCAGGAGTGAGCACTGAGCCTTTTCCCAGCCGCTGCTGAATGCGGGACACCGTTTTCCTGCTCCCCAGGGATGCTGAGGGTGCTCCATCCCGGGATCTCCCAGCAGTTCCCAACCTCCTCTTCCCCCGGGAAAACCTTCCAAGGGATTTTTAAGGTGCCTGTTTTTGGTGGTGGCAGCTGGATGGCATTGCTGGCACCGGGCACTCAGGGCTGGTGGGTTGTTCCCAGCATCCCTGACACGTCCCTGGTGCTTCCCCCCTTTCCTCCCTTTTTTGCCCAGTGCTGATAATTCCAGGAGTTTTCCACGTTGGGTGCCAGGGGGGTTGGGGTGAGCACCATGAGCCTTGTTCAGGAGGTGCTGACATGAAATCCCAGCTGATTTTAAATGCCTGCCCAGGGGCTGGACTGGGATCCAGGTCTCCATCCCAACCTGGAGGGACAAGAGGCAGGACAGCCCAGGAGCTCCGTGGGTGCTGCTTTAATTTCTCTCCCAATCACTGCATAATCCACAAACAGAACTGCTTTTTGATCAGTTTATTTATTTACTTTTAATTTAACAATTTGCAGAGGAGGAGAATTTGTTCGATTTCCCTCCTGCTTTCCTTTGCTGGAGTGGCAAGGAAGCAGGAAGGGCTGTCGCAGGAGCAGCTTATGGTGAGAAGAAAAATAGCTCAACACTCGTGGTGTTAAAACTACTGGAGCAAAGGAGAAGGAGATGGAAAAGCAGAAGTGGGGAGGGCAGGGAGTACTGTTTTTTCTGCGTCTGTCTCTCTACCTGCCTCTCCTACCTGTGACAGGTTAGAAATATGCTCTGGCCATTTTGCTTGGCAAAAATCGTACTTTTTTTTTTTTTTTTGCACGAACATGAGAGAAAAAAACTCATCCTGCTGCTAAGTGGGAAAAGTTTATTCTGAGAATAACACCCTCCAGCTCCCAGTTTTCTATACCTAGAAATGTTTGCTATGTCTTAATAATAACACAGAAAGTCTCAGACTGCATGACAGAATATCGTTATATTTTCTGGGTTTAGGAAAAAACCCTATTATAAATATGTCTCCGAAGGGTGTATATGTACCTTGGCGTGGAGTTTCATTTGCTGTCAGTCTCAAACCACTCTCTATCGTGATCCCGGCTTCCTGCTCCCAACACACCAACCCGGGTTTGCCTTTGAAGAAAAGGATGGAATCAGGTGCTGCCCCCGACCAGCCCAAGCGCCGGCGAGGGAGCTCTGGGGGAAGCCCCAGGAGACAAAAAGACGTCCCCAGTCCTGTTTTATTTTGGGTTTTAGCGTTTAATTCTGAAACCTGCGCTTGAGAATTTGGGGCTGCGAGTCCTGCCTGCCACACTTCTCCAGAATAAACTCTGGCTGAGGGGGGATGCTGCAGTGGAGCAAGGAAAGGGCTGCAAGAGAAGCGCCGTGAGAACCTACCTTGGTGTGGAGCCCGACTGCAGCCTCAGTCCTGACTCGCTCAGCGCTGGCTTTGCAGCCACTGGAGACACTCTGGTGGGAGTTCAGGGGGATCTGGGCAGGGAGATGACTTTTAATGTGGTGTTTTTAAACGTAGCCCAGGTGCTCGCGCCCGACTGTTGGGATCCCCCTCCCAGCCTGTCCTCAGGTAGTTAACATTCACCAAAATATTGATGGCAGTTACCTTCCCTGCCAGCTCTTATCTGAGTGGGCTTGAGCAGGGCTTTGGCAGAGCCTGAAAGGAGGTATTGTTACCTTGCAAAAAAAAAAGAAAAGAAAAAGGAAAAAAAAAAAGGCAAAGAAAACTCAAAGTTGAGAAACAAAGGAGGATTTTGGGATCAGTCCTGGCTGGGGCAGCACTGCTCTGCCAGCCCTGGGATGGGACTGTCCTCCTAGCACCAGCCCCAGGGCCTGGCAGTGGGGAATGTTTGCTCTTTAGAAAACAGCTGGGTTTGGTTTTCTTCAATCTATTAGTGAGGCTTCTGAGCATCCCTTTTGTGTCTGAACTCAAACCAAACAAGATACAGGTATGGATATGTGTCTCCTTCTCCCTCATCACTGTCTTGTGTCCCCCTTTGGAATTCCTACTCCAATTTCTACCAAATTTGACAAAGAGGATGTTGAAGAAATTATTTTAATTTTTTTTTTTTTGTAATTTGTAGAGATACAGTTAAACACTGTTGAGAAAAAGCACAGCAATGTGCACTTCTCTGTACTAGACCCCAGAGAATCCACAGGACTATTCATAGCAAGGCAGGATCCTGTTTCTTGCTGCACATTCAGCTCCTCATGGGCTTTTTATTGAGTTCTTTGCTTATCTGTCACCTTATCATTTGTCCTTAGTTGGCTCAAAGACTGTCCAGAATCAGATCCTTTATCATTTGGGGTCAAATGGTCCAGGTTTGGACCTGGCCAGGCCAAATAATTTCCATGAGCTTTCTTTTTCTGAGACAGCTTGAACAACAGGCCCTGAAGAGGTGACAAATCTGATGTCTCCAAAATTACCTGAAACTGCACAGAAACACCCACATTTTTTCTGTATTACTGGGGCAGGAGGGATATTTTGGGATAGAGAGGAAAAAAAAAAAAAAGAAATCTCCCAAAGAGAATCAAATCCAGTCCTACTGGTCTGGCAGCATTTGTGGAAGAAAAAGCCAGGAGGACAACGGGGTGACTGTGGAGTGAGAGGAGACCTCTCTGTCTGGGGAAGGCTCTTTAGGCAAATATCAGATGTTTTTGGGCTATTTTAGGGGAGTCTGGTGCGTTGGGCTGATGAAGCTCTGACCCATTAACTCCCTGCCTGGTGCTGCCACCCTCGATCAGGGCTGTCCCGGGGGAATCCAGTGCTCAGGATTAACCTCGGGGTTTGACCCTGCAGGATGCTGAGTGCTTTCAGCTGCCCCCGAGCTGGGGGTGTCACTGCTGGGGGTGTCACTGCTGGGGGTGTCACTGCTGGGGGTGTCACTGCTGGGAGCTTTCTGGGGGGTTTCTTTGCTCGCCGTGGCCCCAGGGAGGGTTTTCAGCAGAGCGTGAGGGGTGTTCGCTTCAGCTGAGGGAACGAGGCCGGTGCTCCCACCAGATGCCACTTCTCCAATCAGGCAGTTTCCCGTCAGCCCCTGCTGGTGATTAATTTTCAACATCTTGTGCCTGACTTGCCTGATCCGGGGCCGTTGACTCAGAAAACAGGAAAGGTCAGTTTGACTAACACCGAACCCAACGCCGGCGTCGCATCCAAAGCAAACAGTCCCGTGGGATCCAGGGTCACCCCAGAGGATCCCGTGTGAGGAGAGGGCAGGTCTGTGCCTGTGCTCACCCTGCTCACCCCTCAGGGCTCCCCTCGAGGGGGAAGGTGTGTGAGCCCTCCCGGCTTGTAAAACCAGGAGTGCTTTTGCAGAGGGATTGTTTCCGTTAATTAAAGAGGGGAGGGAGAGCAATGACCTGCTGCAAAGGGGCAGGAAAGCATCGTTGTTTGCCCCATGAGATCCTGGTTTCTGATCTCCTTGGCACAGGGTGGGACAACCCCCCAGGGCTGTGGTGTGGGGAGGGTTTGCTGTCCCAGCACGGGGTGGCTGGTGATGGGCTCCCAGATCTGCAGGGGAGAGGGTGGGATGTCAGCCCAGTGGCAGCTTCCCACTGCCTGCTCCTGGTGTGCAAACAGGGAGCTCAGCCAAGGACATTGCAGAGCTTTGCCAGGTGATTGTGCCTTGCTGTGCCAGGGGGTGGCCTGTTCAGGAGGGAGATGTTGTTGGGGATCAGGAATGGGTGATGGAAGGGTGTGGTGGGATCAGGAATGGGTGATGGGGGTTTCAGCATGTCTTGTGTCATTTTTGAGCACTACCTACTCCACTGAGGTCCCAGCTCTGGTGGCCTTGGGGCTCTGAGTTTCAATGAGCCACTGACAGTTCCCTGAGGTCAAATCAGATGGTTCCCTGTGGCCTCCAGCTCATCACACACAACCCCAGCTGTTTATCTGACCCATCCACGAGACAGTGCACTGACAGAATACCCTGTACATGGTTTGTACTGAGCTTTTAAAAAACTGTTTTGTTGTGGCATCTCTGGACACAAAATAGTCACAGTCATCCATCACTTTAATGGCTTTGCAAGATCCATGGAGCTGATAATCTGTGATAAAGAAATCTCCAAGCTATAGCACATCCTCCTTTTCTTTACCTGTGCTCTGAGCTGCATCAGTTGAGCAGCCTTGGTCTGGCTGTGTCCATGTGGGGGGACAGCTCTGTGTTACAGCAGTGCAGGAATAGGAAATGGGTATTTTCTTATGATTTAAGAGAGGCAGAGGTACCAAACTGACTCCAGTGTTTTTTTCCCAATCCAACTGCTAATGCAGTCCCTGGAAAGGATCACGGAATTGCAGAGCCACGTTTGACCTGCTGCAGGAAAAAAATACATCCACGTTCCTCAGCTTGGGAACTTGTCCTTGGCCTGCTGAATAGGGAAGTTGCAGTGTTTAGACATGGAAAGGGATCCTGCATTTCCATAGGAACGGCAGCGAGTCCCTCCCACCACCTTCAGATTGTATTTCTAAATGATGCGGGACATTAGAGCAAATCAGGCGGTGATTAGCCAAAATCAGGGGGTGATTAGCCAAAATCAGGGGGTGATTAGCCAAAATCAGGTGGTGATTAGCCAGCCTGCTTGGCTGCAATCACACCTTTCAGCATTAATTACCCACTCCTTGAGTGTGATGACGTTGAGCGTCTGCGGCGGGGGCTGCTCGGGGTTTGGTGTCCTTGGCCAGGACGAGGATTGTTCATCCAGCCGTGGGAAATGAGGGCTCCTTTGTGAAGGGCCTGAGGAGCAGGATGGGCAGTTCCAGCCTGGAGGTGTGGGTCTGATCTCCCCGACCTGGCTGTGCGGGTTGGATGGCACAGGGAGGCTTTGCAGTGCCAGGGAAGTACCAGGACCTAAGGAGGACATACAGGAAGGCTGGAGAGGGACATTTTGCAAAGGTAAGCAGGGATGGGATGATGGGAATGGCTTTAAGCTGAAGGAGGGTAGCTTTAGATTGAATATTGGGAAGGAATCCTTCCCTGTGAGGGTGGGGAGGCCCTGGCACAGGTTGCCCAGAGAAGCTGTGGCTGCCCCATCCCTGGAAGTGTCCAAGGCCAGGTTGGATGGGGCTTGGAGCAACCAGGTCTATGGAAGGTGTCCCTGCCCATGGCAGAGGGTGGAACTTGATGAACTTTAAGGTCCCTTCCAACCCAAACCATTCTGGGATTCTGTGAAAGGCAGAGGAGAAGCAAAAGTGTCCATGGAGGGGTTGGGGTCAGGTTTGGAGCGGGTGGAGCCGTTGGCATCAGCACAATCTGCTTCTCTGGTGCTTTTCTAGGGAACACTGAGGGGTTTGCTGGCTTGGGCTGGCTCATTGTGAGGATGTTCAGCAGCTCAGGCTGAGCCCTTGGAAACCTGTTGGAAGTCGGGCTGCAAAGAGGTGCACCAGTGGGTCCTCCCCAGGCTCTGGCCCTCCCTCCTTTTTTAAGGCTGAAATAACATATTTATTTTGCAATTTTGGTTCTTCTTTCACTAAACAAACTCCCAAAATAGGGCAGTACAAGCAGAAGAACTAGACAACCATGTTCAGAGGGGTTTAGCCCAGAGCCCAGCGGGATGCAGACTGGAGCAGTGTGGGTGGCACCAGACTGCCTCGGTGTCTGACCTTGCCCTGCTCCTGGCTGGCGACATTTCTTCCCTGGCAGAAGACCAGGAGCCAGCCCTGGGCTTGTTGTCACACGGGGGGCAAGCCTGGTGGTGCTCATGGTGAAGATCAGGAGGCTGAGCTGCTGCTCTTGTGCAGCCAGGAGGGGAATGGGGGGTCAGTGTCTGCAGCCTGGGGGCTGCTCTGGAGCTCAGGGGTGCTGAGACGTGCACGTGGTGTGTTCCCATCGTGGAGTTCAGGCAGAGTTCGGCCCTGGGAGCTGCTGGAGACGATGCAAACCCCACCTGCTCCTGCCAGCTGTGCATTCTGCCCCTGCTCGAGCCACTTCTCTGCAGATCACAATGAACCTCAAAGCTCCTGCGTGAAATAACACTTTATTATTAATAATAATAATAAGTAGAGGTAATTTGTGATTCTTGAAACTTGCCCAAGCCACCAAATTCAGATTGAGATCTGACTTCAGCCTCCTGGATGTGGGGTTTGGGCTGGTCCCTCTGCAGGCCTGGGACCAGTTGTGAAATGTGGAGTTGAGCTCCTAAATCCCTTCTCCTGCCCCTGAGCTTTCAGAGCTGTGGGCTGGCCCCAGGCCAGTGTGTAACCATTATGAAAACCTCTCTATTTTAGGGTGTGCCACCTGTCTCTCCTTGTCTTTTTTTCCCCTGTAGTTGTGATCTTCAGCAGGGTGAGCTGAGTCGGTGAGGTCTGCTGGTAGTGCAGGGTGATCTCTGGGGTTTGCTGTGGTGGAGAAACCCTTTGGGGCTGGTGAATCCCTCTGGATGACATGCTGTGACCTTGCTGATCTTTGGGGCTGGTTTTGCCCGCTGGAGAGTCCCAGCCTTTGCAGTGGCACTGGCACAGGCTGCAGGAATGTGGTTACCAGGAGTGTGAGAGGTCATGGCCAGGCTTTTTGAGGAGCTGAGTGCTGGGTGGGGCACCAAACCCTGTTCTGGGCTGGTGAGCAGCTCTGGCTCACGTGGCTCAAGAGTGCTAGAAAGGAATTGTTCCCATCTGATCCACCTTGTTCCAAAGGTGGGGTGAAGGACAGAGGAACTCTTCCTCTCTTTGCAGGGTAGGGGGGGGGAAAGCTTTTCCCGTTTCTGAGGTGATCAGCAAAGCTTTCTCTGGGTAAAATCTCTTACATCCAGGTTGTCCTTTCCCAGTCACCACATCCATAAACTTCCCTTCCTCTCCTTGTCCATCTTCTGTCACACAACTCCATCCTTCAGGAGCTCCATCTTTTCCCAAACAGGCTTAGAAGTGGCCAAAGGCTCAGTTCATCTAAACAACTTTTGAAGCTGCCAGAATGACAGATCCAGGGAGACACAGGGGAACAGGGCACTACTTCTAGAAAAGAAGTAAAAAATAATGCTGTGTTTGCTTTTTGTGCATGTGTGTGTGTGGCAGGTTTCGGGTTGGGTGCCCAGCACAACTCTTGGCTCATCTTGGCTTTTTTGGGTCCTTGGCAGAAAGCAAACTCTGCTGTTTGCACAACTGGCTGGTGGCAGATGAGTTTGTGCAGTACAGGAGGGTTTGTGTCACTCAAAACCAGTTTAAAAAAAAAAAAAACAAACCAAAAAAACCCCAAAAAACCAGAAGCTCTGACCGACCCATTGGCATTTTATTAATAATCTTTCAAAGCTGCAGGAGCACAGCCTCTCCCTTGTCCCAACAGGCGTGGGTGGGAGAGAGTTTGCAGCCCAGCCCGTGCCCCTGGGCACCGGGGTGGGCGAGTGGTGGCCGGGTGGCTTTGGCCAAGCACTGGCTGTGGTGCAGCTCTGCTTCCAGGGCTGAGGAGAAGCCAAGCCAGTGGGAACGTTCTCCAGCATGTTCTCCAGCATCGTTTTCTGCCCGTTCACGGTAATTTTTATTTATGTGTTTGCTTTTTCACATGCAGATGGGCAGCATCAATGGCTCGGGGCTGTGGTTTGTGCCCCAGAGCCAAGCAAGTCGTCCTGCCCTGGCTCAGCCTCCGAGTGAGCTGGCTTGGAGTGTCCACCTGGGCTGCTCCTATCTCTGCAGAGTGGCTAGCTCATTCCAAAAGCTTCCAGCAGTAGGTTTCTGACTGTTTGCATCATAAAACACTGTTTAAAGTGTGGTTATGGTCAGCAAAGAGCCAGAGAGCAACTGTAAAATTGACATCTCGAGTTTTTTTTTAGTATTTATCCCTTGTCTATGGTTGCCCCTATTGAATTTGCTCAGTTGATGAGTGGCAGCGAGGTTTCTCCTTCCCAAATTCCTTCCTTTGGGAAGGTTTCTCCTTCCCCAGTTCGGCGTGGCAGCTGGAAGCCGATTGCTTGGCGTGGCAGAAGGAAAGCAAGGGGACACACAGCCCCTGTGGCCTTGAGTCCCACAGGCTCCAGGGCGTGGGCTGGGCCCACCTTAGACCTGGGCTCGGTTTCTGTGGACTGAGTGACCTGCAGGACCAGGTCGGTGTGCAGGCTCCCTCTTCCAAGGAGTGTGGATTTATTTGGGCAGCATTTGAGAGGGCTCCAAGCTACGTGGTGGGTGCCCCAGAGGAGACTCCAGCCCTGGCTGGGCTGGCAGCACTTCTGTTTCCAGGGAGAAGTGGCTTTTCCCCAAGAAGAGCCCAAGCAGGAGGCCGGTGACCATCCCACAGGGGAGATGGCTCCGACCAGGAGGGCTCTGCTGTGGGAGCTCTGGCTCGGAGCAACGGAGACTTCTGGGCTCTGCAGCACCATCAATGGGTTTGATTGTCCTGCAGGGTTTTGCTGCAGCACTTAATTCAGCAGCTCCATTCATTTGGGTCGGGACATACATATATACCTTGGCACTTGGCTGCCAGGACAGGCCAAGTGGTTTTTAGGCAACCCCGGCCAAAAAGCACAGGGCGAGGTAGGGAGGCTGCACAGAAATTCCTCCCTCGCTCCGGGGCAGTTCCTAGAATCTGTGGGGAGCTGCAGGGTGAGGGTTGGCACCGGGGCATGAGGGGCTTGAGAAACTTCTCAGCTCGACTTCGAGCCGCGCCGTAAAGAATTCCGGGCAAACGTTGGAGGTAAACTGCTAAATCCCGGCTCAGACCCCTTCCTCCGGGGTCGGGTTCCACTCCCGGCACATCTGGAGAGGGGATGTGAAAGTCTGAAATCCACTCTCAGCACCCCCCTCCTTCCCCTTCCCACCTCCTCCCCGCCTGCCTGGGACCTCCTCGAGCGTGGGCAGGGATGGGGGGACGTGGGGCTCATTCCTGCCCCAAACGGGGGGAATTCTGGCTGATGAGGGAACACGGGGCTCATTCCTGCCCCAAACGGGGGGAATTCTGGCTGATGAGGGGACATGGAGCTCATTCCTGCCCCAAACAGGGGGAATTCTGGCTGATGAGGGGATGTGGGGCTCATTCCTGCCCCAAACAGGGGGAATTCTGGCTGATGAGGGAACACGGGGCTCATTCCTGTCCCAAACGGGGGGAATTCTGGCTGCTGAGCTCCCAGGGCTGGCTCTGTGTGCTGAGCTGGGGGTGGGCTCTGCTCCTTCCTCACAAAGGGGAGACCTCCAGGTTTGGAAGCTGGAAAAAGCCCCAATCTGGTCCTTGAGATCCTTCCTTGGCTTTTCCCCCACGGATTTGTGTTTCCCCCACAGATTTGTATTTTCCCCATGGATTTGTGTTTTCGCAGTTGGAAGGTCTCGTGCAGAGAAAATCCCTTGATGGGCACTGGGTGCTGAAGGGGTTCTGTGGCTGGATTTGGTGCCTGTTGGGAACAGGGAGGTCCAAACCACCTCCTGCAGAGAAATGAGTTTGGCATTTGGTGACAACCGGAGCAAAACCAGTGGTGGGGGCACCAAATCTGGGGAAACCTTGTCCATGATGCAAAGCTGGATGATTTGATGGGGTTTGTTGCTGTAGCAGTGCTGGAGTTTGGAGGTGAGGGACACCCAGGTGTCTTGTTTTCAGTTTGCTGTTCAGCTGCTTCCTTTTCTGTGTTTCCTGACCCTTATCCAAATTCCTGAGTGGAATTTTTCAGCGCTGTTGCCTGCACTGCTCCACACATAAGGTTGCCATGAGATTCCCAAGGACCTACCATCTTGTTCCTAGGCAGAAAAAACAGGATTGCAGCTCCTGCATCGCTCTGTGGGGAAGGAGCAGATGGGCAAAGCATTTTCTGCAGGTTTCTCTCTGTGCCTGTGAAGAGAAAGTGGCTCGTTATTGTGGGTCTGCAAAAAATTAAACCCGTCCTGTTTCCCGGCTTGAAAATGCCCCCTCAGCTCTCAACTTTTATCCAAATCCTCAACAATATATTTACACCAGTTTTGTTTTAATTAAAAAATCAGAGATAATGG